GTCAACTTTCATCTCAGGTTGTTTCGCTACAGGTTGTAAAAATTTGTAGAACGTTTAACTACTACCTTTATAGGGCATTTTGACAGAAAATTGAGATTTTGGGACTCAAGAAATCAAGAGCCTGTACATATAATAGAGGTGGCAGGAAAAGTAACCTCTCTCAACATGTCGCTAGGTGATAGTTTCGAATCAAAGAGTGCTTTCTTCTTGGTTCCTATGCTTTTTATGTGCAGATGGCATTCACCTTCTTTGCTCTACTCGAGACGACACCTTATCATTAATGGACGTTCGAAAGTACCAAACTGTGCACATTTATAGGTAGTTTTAATTTCATCGCTCGTAGGGCTGATCAAGTGAGAATTGTCTTTCAGCGCTGAACAATACCGCACGTCGAGTGATCTGTCGCGTTGTGTTCTTTCGCCTGGAATGCAATATTGCGCTGCTGGGTGGGCACGATATTTTGTCTTGAATTTTTTAAATAAAACTACTAATTCAATCATATACATTCAAGAGCACCTGATGGAAGCGTTTTCGTATGGAATATACAGTCTACAAAACTTGAGAAAGTGTTGCACAAAGGAGGACATGAGTGAGACATTTAACAGATAAAGTCTTTCAGCGCAAGAGAACAATTTAATCAAAAATGTTCAGGCATGCTGTACTTTCACTCAGCTGGAACCCTTGCGGGCAGGGACTTTTGAGTGGAGACAGGCAGAAAATAGTGTGCATGTGGAAGTGAGGCCAATATTTTCCTGCCACTTTTGCTTACCAGAAACGTTGTGATTTCGGAGTTCTTTCTATAAAGTGTGCTACTCTCGCCAGTTCTTCTCTTCATTTCACCGCTTGCGACCGACTGAATAAATGTTTCTTCAGTTCTATTAATAAAATTTGTTAGGAGAGAATAAATCGCATTAGAATGTAAAACTGACCTAATCAAATGAAAAGTTTGACTTTTGGGATTTACACAAATTGCCCTCCTATCTTGTATCCTCGTTCGTAAAGTTAAATAGAGACAAAAAGAAGATACCAATCAATGAAACTGTCTGTAACA